CTGGTCAGTCTTTTAGGAAATCTCTCAGTGACTTTTCACCTCACATACCAGCAGGTGGCGCCATTCTGAAGATATACCATGTTGGAGTTTCTTTCCTTACAGATGTAAGAGTTTTTAGAATTGACCAAAGATATATAGATTTTCTTGTATCGATAAGAATTCAAATATTTTCAAATTATTTTTTTTCAGAAATTATCAGTTCCTTTATATACATCCTTTATAAACAAAGTCAACACTATTGCATGTAAATTTGATAAATTAGATAAGGAATGCTAAATTAAGTTGGAGGAGAAAGTCTTTAGAGAAGACAGGATTAGTTAGATTTTTTTTTTTTTTTTTTTTTTTTTTTTTGGTAAAGTGTTGACGTGAGGTATGATGTGAATTGGAGTAACAGAAATTAGCAGAATTTAAACCTGTAGAAGCAAAACTGACCCTGGAAGTTATCTTGTTGTTTTGTTGCAGGTGTTGTGGTTGTGGGATGCAAATCATTCCTGAAGCACATGTCATGCTTTCAGCTAACCACTTTATGAAAGTGAGCATGTGCAAGGCTCATCACTCAACCTCATGCTATGTTTTCCCTGTTTTTCTCCTTCCATGTTGTCCTCCTCCTGCCGCCACCCCTGCTCCCCTCCAGCACAGCAGTCGGAGCCAATGTGGAGTTAACAACCACTTGAGCCACACAGACACACCCATTGGGTTTACACTCACTCACGCATGCACAAAACCTGCCTGTGTCACACCCCTTTGGCAAATGCGCTGGAAAAGCCCTGAGGTATGGCAAACACAGCTCCTCTAAAACGAACTCAGCAGCGGCTGATGGAGTCCTGTTGTGAAACTTGAGGTTTATTAAGAAAGAGGGGAAAAAAACTCATTACATATGATAGAAACATCATCCAATAATTCAGCTTGGTTTCTGAATTTACTGGAGCCCAAACATTCCTAATGTTGATGAGCCCTCAAAGCTACAATCTTGATCTACTTTTGGAGAAACACTGGAGTGTTAACCGCAGCCTCTGCTGTTCGATTCAAAAGCTTCACAACAAGTTTCCTCAGAAGTTTCCTTAAATTCCTGTGTAATTCTAGTAGATTTATATTCAATAAAAGAAAGGACCGTAGTAGATTACCAGGGTCTGTTCTGCAGCAGCTGCTCTACCAGAGTGGAGAAAAATGTTTTTCATACCTGGGTAAATAAAATAAAAACACACAAAAAACAAAGCAATAGCACAATGTTTAATAAAGTTTATCATTTTAGATACCGTATATTAGTGAATTACAAAGGCAAGTTTGCAGAATATTTGAGGTTGTGACTCCAAAAATAACAAAGCAACTGATTAGTGACCCTCTAAAAAATAACTTCACATTGTATTCATTTATAAGTAGTTACATTCATTTTTAAATATATTTGTTTTTTTACACATATTTAAATTATTTCATTTGTCTTTTTACAAGTATTTTCCATAGTTTTATTGGGTAATTCAATTATTTATCCTTGCATTTTACAATTGAATGGTACAGTGAATCATGTCTGACACAACTCAACTAACAAATATAACATCTATTTATTTGATGATACACTTAATTGTTGTTGTACCTGCATTGGAAATCATAGGTGCTTTACAGATTTTGTTAATCTCAATTTATTCAGTAACCTAATAAATTCCTGCTTTGATTTTATTCTAAATGTTTCAGAGTAATGTAATGTGTAAGAAAACATTATTTTGTTTTGTTTTTGTTTATTTAGTCAGTATTTAATACAGCAGGCATACTAAATTGTTGGAATATCAGCGACCCCTCACACCCCCACCATGGACTGTTCTCTCTGCTGCCCTCTGGTACGAGGCTTCGCAGCATTCGATGCTGGAGAAGGGTTCTGTAACAGCTTTTTCCCCGCTGCCAAATGACTGTGGAACTGTTGAAAACTCTAATCAAGTCACAAATCGCGCCTCTGCATCACACTTCTAGATGTCATATTTGCAATACATGGCGAATTTTCAAATCGATTTAAATAGAATTCAACTCAGTGTTCTACTGCATTTTGCACCATATTTATTATTTATTTATTTTTGCACTGCTCTGAGCCTTCCACTTCAATGCCTTTTGCACAATGTCTTTCCTACAATGTTTAAATTTGATCACTGCTACTTTTTATAAATGGAAAAGTTCATTTCACCGCTAAGCTGCTGCTCATTCACTGTTGAAAAAGCTATATGCATCGATATTTAATTTTTTACATGCTCTGTGTATACAAAATGACAATAAAGTTTGTCCAGGTCTCTAAGCCTAAGTCGCTAAGAACATAATGATATACTGCTTTATTCCCTTGGTTCAATGTATTATGAAAAACATATTTAGCCTTTATTTTAAGGAATTATCATCATGATAAAAATGAGAAAATTGTATTTTTTTGTTGTTTTTTTTCAAATGTCCGTTTTTCAATTAATCGTTTATCAAACAATGCTCAATCAACTTTAGATTCATTAATGAATCGATAACTTGCGTCTCTATTTTCAGCCTAAGAATGCTACACATTATTGGTAGAAGCAGTATCATGCTGAGGGGTGTTTTTACTGCCAGTCCTTTTTCCAAGAACTTGGACAATTCTAACTTAAAAGGCGGAGCTGATTTGAAAATAGTGACAGGTCTGTTTTTAGAGGACAAGTATTATGGTCAACATGGTCATCCATCTGATAAGATCCCACAGCGGACTGCCATGTCACTCTATGCCAAAACACAAAAAAACTGCTCTGTTATCAGCCCTTCCAGTGTTCACTCAAAGTGGCCTCATCTAGAACAGGAAGTGGCACAAAGGATTTTTTTTTGCATTGCCCACTGTGATTCACTGCTGAGACATGCTCATGCATAGTTGGTTTACCCTTTAGAACTAAGCGCATTATTTCTGCCTGAGTGAGAGGTTTTGACATGAGGACCAGAAGTCTGACTCAGAGGGCTGCAGGAGGAGAGTCAGGTGGAGGAACAAAGAGCCTGTTTGGCCTCAGCTTCGCTTCTCTTTAATTCAACCCTTTGAAACTAAAATGAGGTCTGATGTAATAAAGTGGCCACCAGGACTTGAATGGCGCATAACTTCTTTTTCTTTCAGACCAAAACTGTAATCAGTCTTGTCTTCTAGTAAAGTCATGTTTCTGTCACTGAATGTTAGTTAAAGTGGTACAGGCTGAGGGGAGGACATGGAGTTGTTGAACTATAAATTGAAATTCAGTTAATTTTCACCACACATTCTTTATATGGAGTTTACAATTCAAATTTGTTCAGAGCAAACAGACAGACCGGTAAAAAAGTTTTCTATCCAAGGAGATCAATAAGTTGCATCAAGTCTTTGACTTGCAAAATTCTCCTTTCCTGGATGAGCATGGAGAACGGACTCCTGCGGCGGCCGACCGGGGGTTTGGGAAGACGTAGGCGAACACAAGACCAGACGAGTTAGGATAGGTTCATTTGTAACCTCCTGCATGAGGCATCAATATGCGTTATGAATGACTTTGATAGCGCAGCCACTACTAGGTAGGTTCCCTACTGTTCCATGTATGAATTAAAATTGCTCTTAGATTTTATTTCAAATAGCATCATGATGAGTCCTTTTGAATTTTGTTTCTGCCTACTTTGTGTGTTTCTAAAGGCGATACAGTAAGTAGAATTATTAGGACAAGAATCTTGAAAGGGTTCCTCTGCCTGCTGTGGTGTATGTAGGTTTCTGGCATGGTCTGACAGTCAGGTCGTAACAGAAAGGGGGTGAGAGGGTTTCTACCCTCACTTTAGTGTGTCATGTAACTCATATTATTAATCTGGCTAACTCTAGAGGGGCATGTTTTGGCACAGACTGCAAGCTTAACATGTAGCATGCAGCTGTTTCACACATTTTCAAAGGTTCTTCTCAGGGGGGAAGTAGGTGGTACATAATATTCTGTAACCTATCATGTACCCATATTGCAGCTTATCTTTACTAATCTGCTTCTAACCCTAACGTCACAGGACTTTAAAACTTAACCTTGTGTCAAAGGTCTAATTCCCAAACCTAAAGAAGTCTATGGTGAAATAATGCAGCGCCGCCTTAAGGGTGATTTATACTTCGAAATGAGGTCCTCTGTGTAGGTGACACGGTGAACACAGAGACTTCCCCGTCCCGCCGACACTCTGCTGCACCTCTCCCAAATTGTAGGGGACAGTGCCGCAGAGAGGAGTCGTCTGATTGGTCAGATCTACATTTGCACTACACTATGCGTATGTCCTGTTTGGTACCTTACCGACTGGTTTGTTTGTATGACCTCCATTGTGGAAAACGACTCGTAAAGATGGACCAGCTAGAAGAGCGATGTGCGCGAGAACGTTGGGGCCCTTTTTCCACCTGGTTCCCCGCTCTTTTTCACTTCACTCCGTTGTCGCACAAACTTGCCCCACTTCCTTACCGCCTCGGCCGTATCTAGCCCCACAGGCAGTTCGTGATTTTTCCCTTTTGCGTTGTGGCATGGATAAAACATAGCACAGACCACGCTTCAACATCGAGCATAAATCAAAAATGTCTGCAACAAGCTCACGGCTACACACTGTTGCGGGGAGAATAACCAGCCCTTTAGGTCATGGTGGGGGGTGTTATTTGCTCAGGCCCCCAAACAGGCTAGGACCGTTCCTGGGGATAATCAAAGAAAACATTTTCAAGTATTCAAAGCGTAAAATATAAAGTTTGATTATCCAAATCATGTATGTTACTAAATTGAACCATTTTATTTTGTAAAAATCAACTTGTTTTTTTGGTTGTTGTTTTTTTTTGGGGGGGGGGTTCATGTCAGATTCGCCTTTTGAAACGTTTAAGATAGAGTGAATGGAAGCAAAACAAACTCTGACAGCGACTCTAAGAGCATTTAGACTATATTTACTAAACTGTTACTGATAGTTTCTGAAGCAGTCTCATTAGGGGACCCCACGCAGCACCGTCACGGCTCGCGCGCTGAGCCATAGCGGGGCGGGGCGGGGCCAGGAGCGCTCTGATGTGAGCGGAGCAGCGGCTCTCTGCTGGATGCAGTCGGTCAGAGCTGAATCTCACCATTTACTACTGGCAGCCGCTCACTGGACTTCACAGCTTGGAGAAGAAGAAGGTTAGGAGGACATAAGATTTTTTTTTTCTTCAATAAAACTCTCCTGTTTCGCATTAGAATCATATCTTGGGATCTGCGAGGAGAAGAAGAGAAGGAATTTCATTCTTTAGAGGAAACCAGCAGGGAGATGATTTGAATCAAAGGAGGAACAGAACTGCTGTCCTCTAACAGGTGAGTCAATCTCCGGCTTTTATTGATAATAAAAAAACAACCTTTAACTTCAGATCGTCTCTTCCTTTTTGTTTTTAAACTTAATGTGTTTTTAAATGTTTTTCTTTTTTTCTCTCTTCATTTTTCTGGCTCACAGCACCACCTCTATCAATAAGTGTGACTTTCTGAATGAGTCATTTTCCTTTTGCAGCGTTGAACGTTTGTTTTTACTGTTTTCCTTTCTTCTTTTGTTCTTTGGGGAAAAACTTCAGGATATTTTTGCTTCTTTCTGTGCAGGTGTTCATTAATGTGACCCCGTTACTCATCAGTCTAGGGCACTAAAACTTAACTCTTTATTTCATGCAGACCTCCTACTCTTTTTCATTAGAAATAATACAGTAATAAACCCTTATTTTAAAAGCATACTGCGTTTAATTGGCATTAATTTGCACATTCTTGGTCATGTTTGCGACCCTAAACACAGGTGAGATCCATGTTAAATGTCTGATTGCATCAAATATTAGATCGAGATTCATCTGGAACCTGTGTAACTAAAAGTTACTTTTATAATTAAAATAATGGATTATCTTCATGCCATGTTAATATATTTCTGAAAAATCTTAATTTAACTAAAAATAGTTTTCTGAATCAATTAAGTTTGGATAATTAAGTACTTTTCTATATAAAAAGTGTTCAATATGGCAGTGCATGCATTTCTCTACCATGAAATTAAAGGAATAGTACACCCAAAACATGATTAGCCTTCATTTTCTACTCACCCCCATGCTGAACAACACTCTGGAGTACTTTTTTGATATCTCAAATGCATCTGGAGATCTGGGAGGCTTCTTGCTGTCTGCTGACATTCAAATAATGGAGGTCCATGGCGCCCGAGGCAGAAAGGTCCATAAAAGTCCACAAAAAACGTTTCAATATTCCTCCATACTGCTCGTCCAATGTATTCCAAGTGTCCTGAGTGGGTAGCATCCAGAATTTACTCAAAACTAAGTCATTTAGAATGTTTTTAGAGCATAAACAGTAGTGTATAGGATTTCCTGAAAGCGCGTTCACGTAGCTACGGAAACAGCGGCAGACCAACCCAGACGAAAGTGCGCATTCAGCTCAGCAAAGAACTCATGCTCTTCCTCAACACTGAAGTCCTCAGACATTTTTCTTTCGTTGTTTCTTTCTTTGCACAGGTAAACAGCACATTTCTTCTTCTACGCTTGCATTATTGGCAGAGCAGACGCTGAATGCGCACTTTCATCTGGTTTGGTCTGCCGGCTTCCGTAGCGTCATGAACGCGCAGGTGCGCGCTTTCAGGAAATCCTATACACCACTGTTTATGCTCTAAAAACATTCTAAATGACTTCGTTTTGAGTAAATTCTGGATGCTACCCACTCAGGACACTTGGAGTACATTGGACGAGCAGTATGGTGGAATATTGACACGTTTTTTGTGGACTTTTATGGACCTTTCTGTCTCGGGCACCATAGACCTCCATTATTTGAATGTCAGCAGACAGCAAGAAGCCTCCCAGATCTCCAGATGCATTTGAGATATCAAAAAAGTACTCCAGGGTGTTGTTCAGCATGGGGGTGAGTAGAAAATGAAGGCTAATCATGTTTTGGGTGTACTATTCCTTTAAGTTATTTGCATTATTTTACAGCAAGAATATGTGTTGTTTTGTCCTGTGAGAGAGATTCAATAAAGTCTTATCTATTGCGCAGCTTAACATGGCAGTCTGTGAAGTATTTTATGGTTTTTCATTTTGTTCAAATAATCTCATCTTGAGCCCCAACACCTTACCTCCAGCATTAGAACTGAATAGATGACAGGTTAGTGGAAGGTCAGAAGGAATCCCAATAAAAGACTCTGTTGCAATAGAAATAATTGCAATGTGAAAATCCAAACATGCTGGATCTTACAGCAGGTTTTTCGTTCCCGGATGATGTTAAGATCTCTGCATGGACAGGACATGCAAATGTACTTTTTGCAAATTGTACTGACTCTCCTCCCTTTTCGCCTCTCCTGCTCTCTTCCCTTAAAAGCATCTCCCAAAGGATTACCGTTTAGCCTGGAGGGTTATTTATCATTTTGCTTGCCCGTCTCCCTCCTCTGTTATAATTTAGTTTATCTCTACTCCCTTGAGGCTTTCCCCATCTAAACTTAGTCCCAGCAGTTAGATGGCCGTGCGGAGTGCGCCCCTCTCAGGGTGATTCACTCCATCGGCTTGTGCTGTGGTCACTGGGGAATATGTCGGAGCAGCTCAGAGGTGATCCCCTCATTCCTGCAGCTGGTTTGCTCGTGGTCAGGTGGCCACCATAAACAGACAGATGTTAGAGCTTTTTGTTTCTAATAAAGCCTTCAGTCGTTTCAGTGCTTAACATCGATTGTGGTGTTTTGAGCAAACGCTGACTTTTTTTTTCTGTCTAAAACAGTTTTATGAATCCAAACAGATCAGTCTTCCACTTGTTTTCTGATCTTGTCCCCGATCAGCAAGGCTTTTAGCATTCACAAAAAGTGAACATTTCAGATATGAAGTAAAAAATTCTGCCGAAAGGGCCCATGCATAAAAAAAACTAATTGAAGCAGTTTTACTTTAAAAACATGCATGTAAATGACTCTCAATGCAGATCTTTTGAAAGTTTTATGAGTGCAGATCCGACAGCATGAGACTCCCAATATATCACATCCCAGAGTGCATACTCCTTTCTTTTCGCTTGTGGCTTGCTTCTTATGCACATTTAGCCTCTCTACTACCTATAAAGTGACCTGTTTCTCTGCGTTCATGTCCTTTTTTTTTTTTGTCACGTTGAGTGTGGAACCAAATTGAGAAAGTAAACTTCCTGTGATTGGCTACTTTTCAGGAAAATCCATCCCCTGTGACTGCACAGTGTCTTTTAAAGCATATTGCTACTGTTGTCAGAGCACATTCATGACAGTGTTAAACTAAATTATTTAACGATTTATTCAGTTAACCATTTTATATTCTTCAAGAGAACTGAAATTAAGATGAAGATGCTTTGCTGATGTTATTAGCCACATCCAGGAAGAAAACAGCACTGTCTGAAAAGGCAAGCATTTATTAAAAGTAGCAAAACTCAGCTAGTTTACTAGCTTGCCAGCTAGTTGTTGGTTCCACCCTCAAAGTTCCAAACTGTTATCAAAATCTGATATGAGTATACAATAACATATCCACACGTGTTGAGGAGAGAATACAGATGCAGAAATGCTTGGCTGCACCAAGAAGGAGCATGGACTCATCCTTATTAGATATTAGTGGCTCATGGTATTGAATCTGCACACAGAGAGCCTTCAGAATGCCTGTGGAGATTAGCATTTGTGCTAAATGTAAATCCCTTTATTGTCCCACAATGGGGAAATTCGCTTTCTGAATTAAGCCCATCCCCCTGACGAGCAGTGGGCTGCCATTGTGTGGCGCCCGGGGAGCAGTGTGGGGTTAAAGGTTTTGCTCAGGGATCCAGAGTGGAGTCTGTGGGGAATGATCAGGATACTTGCAACCTTCTCAGAGCAGAAGCACACTGCTCTAAACACTAGGCCAATACTCCCTAACTGCTTCTACTTACTTTTTATTATGCATGCACCATTTAGGCAAACGTCTGACTTTGTATTAAACATTTTATGAAATCTATGATAAAGACGTAATGTTTTATGCACTCATGTCTTATCTGTCTCATTTCTCGAACAGGATGAACCTCCAACTGCTTCATGCCACTTTGTTACTGTGGGCTCTGTGCCCCAGTCTGCAGAACCAATGTGATAAATCCTCAGAGATAAGCAAACTGAATCTCTCTGTGACCTATGAGCTCCCAACATTCACTTCAGATTTCCCCATCCAAAACATGGTCATTCTGGATGACATCATCTATGTCGGAGCAGTGAACAGAATCTATGCATTGGCCCCAAACCTCACAAAGCTGTCTGAGTACAACACAGGACCACTGCTCCCCAGCGAAGCCTGCGGTCTGACCCAGACAAGGAAGGACAGCACTCACAGGGTTGACAACCACAATGTTGCTTTGGTGGTAGAGGACCTTTACGATAAGGGATTGTTCAGCTGTGGTTCAGCTGATAATGGGGTTTGCCGACGTCACGTTCTGGATGAAGGCTATAGCCTGAAAGCTGTCGATGAGGATGTCTACTGCTTTGCGGACAAGGTAAAGCCAGGCGAGGGTCAACCTTTTGATCCGGATGTTGTTGTCAGTCAATCAGGGTCGCAAGTGCTCAATGTGGAGAGCAATGTCAGTGAGTTTTTTGTTGGAAACTCTGAGATTCCAATCGTAGGAAATAGTTCCTACAATGCTACTCGTCCACACACCCTCTCACAGCGGAAGATGAAAACGAGCCAAAACGGATTCACTTTTTTTTCTAGTCTTTCATACATGGATCTGATCCCATCTCTCCAAGGTAATTACTACCTGCGGTACGTTTACACCTTCAAAAGTGGACCCTTCACCTACTTCCTCACAGTGCAGCAGGTGAACAAAGACACCAAGGCCTACCACACCCGTTTAGTCCGCATGTGTTCCTCAGATCGCCAGATACGCCGCTATGTGGAAATGCCCCTTGAATGCATTAGCACAGACAAAAGGCGCAGACGTTCCACCGAAGATGTGAAGGTGTTTAACATCCTTCAGGCTGCCAACGTCACCAAGGTGGGCAACGATGCAGAATTGCTGAAGCAGTTGAAGGTGGAGGAAGGTGAAGATGTTCTGTTTGCCGCGTTCGCTCAAGGGAAGCCACACTCTCTGGAGCCAACCCCTAACTCGGCTGTTTGTGCCATGTCATTGAAACACATCAACAACATGTTCAAGATGTACATGCAGAAGTGCAACACAATCAACCCATACCACTTCACTGGCTCGGATGAGAAGTCCTGCTACAATGTGGTAAGAACTGGAGAGGGTGGGGGGATTGTTGGGCTCTTACTAAGGATGTTTTATGTTTTTGAAACCAAGGTCTTTATTTATCGTGGTTCTAATCAAAGATATTTGAATGTAGGTCTTTTCAAAAGTTATACTCAGGTTTTAGAAGTTCTAGAATCATAGCACAGAAACAGCAGAGCTGAAAGTAACTCATGATATTATCAGGGCATAGATAATGGACTTGTATTTGTACTTGTCTGTTAGATCTCAGGACTGCATTTGACACAGCTAGACAAAATATTTGCTAAGAAAGGCTTGAAAATTCTGTAGTGATTAATGGAACTGCCCTAAGCTGGTCTAAGTCTCATTTGTCTAACAGATTTGAGTTTTTTAATGATAAATCTTCAAGCTCCAAGGTTACCTGTGAAGTACCACAGGGATCAGTGCTAGGGCCAATTGTCTTTACTGTATTTATGCTCCCAATTGGTAAAATTATCAAACAACGTGGTAATAACAGCACTTAGCTGTACTGTAACAATAGTCCATAAATTGTATGTTACGTTCTCTAACATACAAAGTAATTATGGATCAGTGCTTCTACCTTCCTTTTGTGTCTCTTCTTCTGTCTTCTTCAACACCCATTCAGCCTTGGCAGAAGGCCACTCACAGTGATGCTCACTCCTAATACCTCAAACTGGTAAGGACACTAGCCACGGCGAAGGTGCATCTGGATTTGCCATAGTAGGTGCATTCCAAAGCAAAGCATTTCAGCAAGGAAGGAGCTCGGACCAGGAAGCAGGATGCTTTCTAGCAGCAATTCATTTAGCATAGGGACCTGCTGACATTTACTAATTGCCTCTAGGAACCACTCGGTTGCCCACAATCCTTTGCATGTCAGACCGTATAGGTACAGCCCACCACCATTTAACCAAAATCATTGGTGTGTGCATGCCAAGTAATGATGTCCTTATGTGTAAAAGCTTTCTAAACTTAGCACGGTATTCCAGAGCTTCTTTCCTACCCTAGGTACTGTTTTTACTGTTGACCTTGGTGGATAGGAGCTAGGAACAGGAGGTAGGAGTTACAGTTTAAGCTCGAACTTGAGCTTGGTTCTGCTCAAGGTTTTATTCTGGTAAAAATTAGTTTTTCCTCTCCCCTCTCACTCCATACATGTTTGTGGAAGGGATTGCTATAGAGTCAAATATCTACTGTCACCACACACTCATCCAAGTGGAGCAAATCTGTCAATTGGGGAAATAAGCAATTACCATGAGCAAATTACGAAAAGCTTGTTCTCCTTAGAAACATTTTACTACTCTGACTATATGATCTTTAAATTTTCTTGTGATGACGTGTTGTGAGTTGACGCTGTATAAATAAACTGAATTAAATTGAGTTTTGAACAAGTTATCGAAGGTAAAACGTTTTTTTTTTTTTATGTGAGTTGTGCACTTGCTCTTTCTTTATTTCATGGCGATTTAAAATTATTGTTCCAAGAGGAAGTAAAGTTCTTTTCTACCGTTTAATGACTTCAGCTGTTTATCTGATGCAGGCAAGCATAGAAACTGGCGAGTCCCATGATCACAGGAACTGTGTCCACTTTGTGTGCGCCATGCTGCCTTGGAGCAAGGCACCAGAGTATAACCTGCTCTTTACTAGAACAACAGTGTTTATAGGTATGCTTTCACGTCTGCACATGCATGGAGGACCTTTGAGTACCGTTTGCTCAAGAAGCATAAGCCAGAGTATCAAGTACCACTTCTGTATCCAGACTTCATGAATAGGTTGATTACCAGATGTGCAGGGTAAAGGAATTCAGAGAAATGTTTACTAATGATCATGAAAGGAAAAGACAGTGTGGCGAACATGCTGAGCATTATGTGTAATCTGCTGGTTTTTCTCTTTCTTTCCATATTTGGTAACAGCATATAATTCTTCACCAGTTCTTTTGGCAATGATAGGGTGATAGTTCTAAATATATGCATAGTTTACTAGAACGGCAAAGTCAGCTACCTGACCTGAGTCCAGCTGATCATATGCCTCAATTACAGAACAGAAAGGCAATGGAGTTAAACCATAAAAGAAGAAAAATATTCTTGCATGCCTTGAATACCAACAAAAGGCACCTCACGTGTTTTCTGACTAGACTTGGTTGCCTTTTTCCAGTTTCATTTGATTCTACACAAATATGTTGACTGTTTGGAAACTGAAGCAGAATTTCAGCTCAGTACCTTTGCAATCACAATTTTACATAGTTGATCTAATGCCCTAAGAAGGAAGATTCTCTCATCTTTAGCCTCAAAACAGACGTTTGTGTTTTTTGCTTTACCTGTGCCTTATAATCCATCACTAGTTGCCCTTATCAACCAGCTCAATTACCTGATCAATAATGATGCAGAGTTAACCACGATGACCCTGCCAAAGAAGCTGTCGATATGTATATTAGTTTTGCCCCAACAATGGCTTAATCTTTAGGCTCAGCATTAATAGTACAGCATATCACCAGAGAGGCATGGGATTATCTCAGCCTCCTAGAGATTTTACTTAGTCAATAGGTTGTCTAGAGGCAAGCACATACAGGACCAATGACAGACGCATATGAAAACACAACACACAAAAGGAAAATTCCTGTCAAAACATTTACTCTGCATGTTTGTAGCCATGGAGGTGATTTTTTTAGCTGCATCACCAGAAAATATGACCATGCATGAAAAAAGGCAAAAGCTAGAAGATATCAGAATGGCTTTTTAAAACATCATGCACGTTATTTTCTGAATTTGATTCGTAATGAGTTTTTCCCACCATTTATAATGCTGCACTGTGAAACAGAGACATTTCGTTTTATCTTCACTCTTTTGGCGTATTCCCAATCAACTGTCAATGCAGCTTATATTTGAGGTGCATTCAAAGAAAAGTCCTTAGTCACTGAAGCAGAGGCTTAACTTCTTTTGTAGACTCTAGATCTTACTATTTGGATAATTATGAACTCTTTCCTTTTTAACATATGTACTTTTACATTAGAGAGTGACAGATGCAAGTTTTTTAAAGCCGATTGTGATTTTAAAGTGTGACAAGGGGTAACAAAATTAGTTGCCATCTTCTTTAATGGTACACCCATGATATAAGAGTAAGGCACTAGAGAAAACCTTTTACACACACAGTCCATAAGGCAATCAACAGACCCCAGTTGGCCAAAAATTGTATGTAAGCTGGAAAAGCCATAGACAATACAATGATGCAAAGAAAAAGCATTTGGCCAGGATTTTATACTTCTAACTTCTTGCTTTCAGGTAACAGGCCTTCAAAATACTGTTGCCTGCAAATATAAAGTTAATACTTTCAGTTAAAGAAACAAAAAAGACCCCTGTTCAAAGTACATCTCCATTAATGTACAACAACCAAAAACATGGCTCTCACTGTGAAGCATCAAACATCATCAACTACCCTTAAACCTGCTTGAATGTGGAGTTTAGTTTTGTTATTAAAACCAGCTTCCCAGATGCACACACAAGCGTGGTGGGGTGAGTTTGTGGGTCCATCGCTGCTCCCCTGACAGCTATCAGCAGCACAGATCCACAGGGGGAACTGTGGAATGCCGATGCTTTGGGGTGGGGTGGTGGGCGACAGTGCATATCTAACTTTCAGCGAGCCGTGATGAATGGTTCGGGGATAACTGGACATCAGCAGCTGGGCGGAAGATGAGTGAATCCCCCACCCCTTCCCTCCTGCAAGCAATCTCCCCCAAAAGGGCCGCTGTGGCTGCGGGCCACGATGGCAATGCCTCATCACTGCTCTATCGGCTTTCACCTGTTACAAGCATATTTGGGGGGGAAAAAACAGAGCTTCAGCACCACTTTAAAACATCTTTCTGATATCATTTGTAGTAATCATAGTTAAAAACTAGATATTTTCTGTCTTTTTTATTGCCAGACAACTTCAACTTCTATTTTGCTGTGATTTAAAGCAAAAATACATCTTTCGTTTAGGTCAAACTAGCTTCTTTAACCAAACAAAGATATTCTAATGTGATGCAAAAGACAGAAGCGGTTCTTTGCTGTGAACTCATCAGTCCCGAAGACTGTCAAGCCAAAGGCTAAAAACATCCTGCTGCAATTCAAACAACTTTGCATCCTATGCTTTCAGTTCCTTGTTAGTTGAAACAAGCTGCGGTGCAAAAGACAAACAGCACGCAAAACCTAAAGTTACAAACTGTACTGGCCCGTATTCCTTCTTACGCTTTTTTTGTTCCACTTAAAAAAGAGAGAGAGAGAGAGAGAGAGAGAGAGAGAGAGAGAGAGAGGGGGGCTTAATCTCTCTGAGTTAGTGTTTTGCAATTTTATCATTAGACATTCTTTCCTACTGACTCATTTGATTATGGGGTGACATCCAGTTTTCAGGAGTGTCTAAGTGAGGTATAATTATTGCAGAAGCTTTTCTTTGTACCACTTTTTGGGCATGAACACCTCCTTGCAAAACCCTCCACATTTTTCCACAATAAAAGCACAACTTTAGTGAACTTAGTAAAGATTTTATGTAATAAAAGAAATAAAATGATACAGGGTGATAACAAAAACTAATTAATTGATTCCATAGCAGGAAAGAAGTGTTAAAAAATCAGTGCATCTTAAAGGATTGTTTTTACAAAAGTATCAATAGTACCAAAATATAAAAATTAGAAAATACATTGCAAAATTGTTGGTACCCCTTGTTTAATGGAAGAAAAAACAGCAATGGTAACAGAATTAAAATTGACAAATTTAATAACAAATAAACATTCTATTAAAATAAACAAATGCAGACAATAATGTGACCAAAGTGAAATGTTAAATCAATGTGTGTCCACTAATTAGCATCACAGGTTTCTACAATCTTTTAATCAGTCAGTGGGCCTATATATATGGCTACAGGTAGTGACTGTGCTGTTTGTTGACATGGTGTGCACCACACCTTACATGGACCTGAGGAAGAAAAGGAAAGACTTGTCTCAGGAGATGAAAAAGAAGGTTATAGACTAACGTGTTAAA